TTCCAATCATCAATATAAAAATAATCCAAATACTTCCAATAATAATTAACAACGATATTTCAATGTATTATTAAACTGGACGTTTTTGTTTATTTTATTGAGAAATGAAGATTAATTGAATTATTTGATAAGAAAGAAATTTTAAAGAGAACAGAAAGAATAGAAACAAAGAAGAATAAAAAGAATGAGTTACAAAAATAGTGAAACACAAATTTATTATGTCAATTTATGTTTATTCACAAAATTTTAAAACTATTTTGTAGTGAAAGGAGAAGGTCTAGAAGTATCCCAACATTTAATAAATTCACGTTTTGATTGAGTAATTTTTTTGTCTTCAGTTATTCTTTTGAAGAATTTTTTATGACGATGATAGTCTTCTATTGCAGTTGGCATTTCATTTTTGAATATTTCTAATTTATTATCAATTGCTGTTAACATTGTTTTTCCAGTTATGTCTGGGATTTCAAAAGATTTCATTGAGGGAAGTACAAAACTGCCAAGAATTTCTTTCTGAATAAAGTTCATTAAGAATCCTTCAATTTTGTCTTTAATTTTTTCAGGCATATTTTGAGTTTTAAAAGTAGGTATTTCAATGTCAAGATTTACAACAGGTTCAGTTACAAAAGCAAACCAAATAATGTTTGTAGGAAGGTCTTGAAACATTAGTCGAATCATTGAATCAAGACTATTTAATTTTACTTCTGCATTTAAAGTAATTGTTCCAAAGAAAACATGAACTTTTATTTCGAATTTCATTTTAAATCCATTTAAATAATGAATAACTGCTTCAAGAAATGTTTTATTTGGAGAATTTAATCTACGAATAGATGGATCGTTAAAGATTGGTAATGAAGGTCCCATTTGAAATTCAGTACAATTAACTGCCTCAACAAATGAGGGGAGTGAAGATTTTTCGATTTTGTTTTGGATAATTGTTTTTATTAAAGAAAGGAAGGAATTGTTATCATAGAAGGTAAAGAAAATACGATGAACAAGATAATTTATTCCATAAAACCATTGTAATGATTCTGTTGCGTTAAGATTATCTAGTCGTGTTAATAAATTAGTAAAATGTTCTTTAAATTGTAAAGAACGGCGTGCTTTTTCAAAGTCAGTTGGAACATTTGGAAAAATTCCAGAATTAAGTTTAATGAGTTTGGAAGGGTAGTACATTGATATTTGTTGAAGTAAAGAAAGATAGAAATGTTCAAGGATAATACCTGAGTTAAAATGAATTTGAATAGAGTTGGTGTTTGGGAGAATGGATTTATTAGAACATAAAGTTAAACGGTCATTTGGAAGATAACGAAGAATAGTACCAGGGATAAGTAATGTATTTAAATCATTAAAAAGTATCTGATATTCTTCTTCTTCAATTCTTAAAATAATTGATTTATTATTGGTTGTTATTACTGCCTTAGTTGGTAAAAGTGAAGGATTATTAAAATATATCAGACAGTCAAATGATGATGGTATGACAAAGTTAGTTCTACATTTTGAATGAGGTGTATTTGGGTTATCAAATACTGTTCTTGCTAATTTTAATTTATTAACTTTTTGGATATTATATTTTTGAATCAACTTAAGAAAGGTTTGAGAATATAAAATTAATATAATAAGGAATATGGGACTAAGCCCAATAAAGAATCCCAACAGTGCAATACCAATCATAAATTCTATGTCTTTTTGAGTTTTATTTTTTTTTTCTCTTTTTTTAAGTAAAAATGACATTTCGTTATTTTGTTTTAAATATTAATTCATATTAAAAAAAAGAAGTCAATTCAATAACTTCAAATGACCAGTAATTTTGTTAATTTTACTAACGGTGTCTGGACCAATACCTAAAACAGTGATTGTATTAGGAGCAATTTGTGTTCTACCAAGATCAGTTATCAATCCATTAACAATACCCTCTTGATTTGCTTGTTTCTCCAATTCTAATCTATACTGTGTTAGTCTATATTATAAATTAATGAAATACACAAACAATTGTTCTAATGAATCAACTCTTAATGCAACTTTAGTTTGGTCATGCTCATGCCAATATTTTAAAACATCTGGCTGAGTTTGTAATGATTTAAGAACACACTCAACCACAGCATGACCACATTGTGCAGCAATTTTACCTTTACCCATTTTTAAATCATTTCTAACACAAAAAACCATTTTATATTCTTCTAGTTGTGTTGTTGTTGTTTCTTCTTGAGAAAGTGGTTCTTGTTGTGTTTCACTCATGACAAGATTGAATAATTTATTTCTGTCAAACTTCAAAATCTTTTATTTTACCATAAAAAAATTATCAGATTTACTAAATATATTTCATTGGTACATTCAATATTCTTTTCAAATTAATCTAAAATAAATTTATGTATATTATTTTTAATATCATCAAATTATACTATTGATAGAATTTAGTATATTGTTAAAGTTAATTGGTTCTAACTTTATTTTAATATGTAAAACCAAACTAAGTATTTTTAATTAATTTTAGTGTTGTTCTGTGTATTGTTGACATTAAAAATATATTATTATCTTTTTATTTGAATAAACCTTTATTTAACAAATTATGCTTTTACCAATTTACATATTTTTATATTTTTATTGTAACTTATTGGATATTTAAATAATTAAGATAAAAGTATTGAAAAGTGAAGAAGATATTGTCTTTCGTTCAATCCATTGAGACAAATGAAATAAATATTCATTATTTATAATAGTGCTTAGTTACTTTATCTATTATTTCATAGAAATATAAAAATAATCCATAACTATGAAGAGTTGATACAAAAACAACCAAAAGACTCATAAGAATAATCAAACTCATAAGAGACAAAGAAATAAAACAGAATAATAAAATATTGTCCACTCAAATTAGAAAAAAATATGCAATAAATCAATATAATATCTATGACATTTTTGATAGAATTTTATATATTATTTTCAAATAAAGTTAAAAGTATTACATTAGCAACAACAAATAGTGATATATGTCTAACAAACAAGAAAATAATAAAAAGAACAAAAAATAAATTAACAGTACAAAAAACGGGAAAAATACAACATTTAATCTTTAAAACATAACCTACTTTAAAGATTAGAATGGTATTTAAATATAAAGATAAATAGAACATATAACAAAAGATATGATGATTCACAAATATTTAAATGAAAAAAAAAGAACAAGAAAAAAAAAATAAATTGATTGTATTAGAGTTAGTTAGTAGTTTGATCAAAATATAAAACATTCATATATTAATCAGAATCTGCTTTGATAGAAACAAATTAAAAAGAAGATAATAAAAATTATTAAAAGTTTGTTAAATACACCAGAAGAAGATATACCATAAAAATGATAAAAATTCAAGAATAAATGAATATGATAAGTTTTGCTTCAAATATGATACAATAGAAATAAATGGTATTATAACTAATTATCTACTGTAAATTTTTTTCTTTTAAACTAAAACTTTGAAATAAAAATTATACATGGATAAAATTGAAGATGAATTTATGAAATTTAAGAATAACAACAACAATTGTTTCATGAACTACAATAATGAAGAAATAGAACTTTGGATAAATTCATTGATTAATAAAAAAGAAACATTTCAAGAATATATACAATTTATTGATGCATTGTTTCACAGTATAAATAGTCATAAGCAAGTTAATCAATT